CTTTCACCACAGACGATCCAGCCAGATCAATGAGACTATTAAACCACCTCAGGAGAGGCCATCAGGAGGAGTCATCCCCCCTGTCAGATGTTCCTTGGCTCCTTGGAGGCTTCTCCACCCCCACAAAGTCAGAGGGTGGATCCACTTAGGGGATCAACCAGGGCACCCCTAAGCCTGGGGTGCTGCACTTGGCTGGTTCTCCCACAGGGGAGCTGCCACCCACATCCCTGGCTCTCACCCCGGGCTGAACTGGGCTCTGCTGGCACCTCCCAGGGAGGGGTGAGCTCAAACTCCTTCCTTGCAACCTAAAATAGCCACACACCAAAAAATTGACACGTCCAGTGTCACCTCCACCACGGTGACCCCAAGACAGGGTGTTACCTGCTGTGGGGAGTGCTCTGGGAGCTGGGGCTGCCCCAGTTTTCCAAACACAGAGCCCACAGCATGTTTTTTTTTCCCCCCTCCATCTACTCCCAAATGCAAAGGTGTGTAAGATGGATCCAGGAGAAGAGGGAAAAGCAGCTGCCCGACCTTTTGGACTGGAGTGGGTGCAAAGGGCTGCTTGACACCGAGGCAGAGCCACCGACCCTCTGCCACAAAGGCTCAGAGGGGGGTTCTGCTTGTTTTTAGCAACACTTGGAGGAAGAGGCAATAATCCAAACAACTTATCTGGCAGCCAGACCAATCCTCTTTCAGCCAGATTACCACCAAAGCCCGGCGAGCCCCTGCCTGCAGGACAGCCACGCACACAAACCCTCTCCTCCCACAGCAGGGGGCACAGCTGCAGCCAGGACTTTGCCTGCTCCTCACCAGAGACAAAAGCCAGCCCAAAAATCCCCCATGGAGGCAGCGAGGGGGGAAAACAGGAGCCTGCAAGCTGCCCGAGCACCCTCCCCGACGTGGTTTGGCCCGGGCACCCTGGCACCCACCTGACATCTTTGCCAACAGTCATGGATGCTATCACCTTCTTCACAGCCTCCTTCTTCTTCTCCTTCTTGTCGCTGTTCAGTTCAGCTTTCAGCTCAAATATCTCCCCTGGAGGAAGGGGAAAAGGGGTGAGGGGATGGAGCACCCCCCCCGTGTTGGGTGACCCCAGCTCCCACCCACAGCACACAGGCTGCGGTGCCACCCTGCATGCTCCACAGACCAGGAGTTGGCAAAAGGGGTTTTAACTTCCCAAATATCTTCACCAAGGGATGGGGCTGCTCTGGGGGCTCAGCTCTTAATCAGAGAAAACAGATTTGAGTGTGTTGGTGCATCCCTGCAGCTCTGCAGTTCTGCACAGAGGGCTTTAAGGACCAGAGATGCTGCAGGAGTGGTGAGCACCAGCACCCTGCACCCCCAGCACAGCACATGGGGTTCATTTGGTGGGTATTTTTGGCTGTGGGACAGTTCTCACAGCACAGAGAAAAGCCCCAGCCCCACGCATGGCTGTTGGGAGCCTTCCCCTACCTGGGGAGCCCTCCCCAGCTCGATGACGACAACAGGAATCCCCCAGCCCAGCACCTTGCTGGGAGCAACCAGTGGCTCTGGACCCAGCCCAAGGGCATCGTCTCCTGCCCTCACAAAGCCACACTGAGCTCTTCACTCACTCCTGGGCAAACAGACTGAAGAGGAAGATGCCACTTGGCCTTCCTCCACATTAACTCCTCAGTCTGGAAAGGGCTCAAGTCAAATGCTCTGAGCACTTCTGTACCAGCCCAGAGGGGCTCAGAGCAGGGCCTATGTCCCACAGCAGCTCCTGGGCTGCTAAAGCTGAGAACCCAGATGCCACCAGCCTCATCTCGGGGTTCAGGGGTTTGGTGACACAGTGCTCTGACCCCAGGGCAGCCCAGGAGCCACCCTGGCTGTGTCAAAGCAAGGAGCAGGGTGTCAGCCACAGCATCTCACGTGGGCTCAGGGCATTCCCACAGGGGCTGGCACCTCCCTGCAGGCCCAGCCTTCCACATCTGGCTTGTACGGGTGCAAGAGGAGCCTGATTATTTGGGGAAAAACTGCGTGACCCTCCCACTCCCTCTCTTACCTTTCTTGGTGGTGGTGAAGTACTTTGAGTCTGTCATGGTGGTCTCCAGCTAGAGGCAGGTCCCTGGGAGGAGAGGCAGACCAGAGAGCTTGAGGGGTGGGAGTTTCCTTGGTAGGGTCGCTACAAAGAGCTCCAGGGAAGGAAGGAGCTTGGGATCTGATGGGAAGAGCTACAGGGAGGTGAAGAGCCTGTAGAAGCCCTCAGCTCCCACTCCCCAGGGAGGGTGAGCTCCTCACAGCCACGCCGGTGCGCCGCGGGCTCTGCTGATGAGCTGGTTCACTAACGAGGATGTGGAGGAGGAAGAGGAGGAGGAAAACAGTCACTGAAGACACCAGCCTTCATCCCTGCTCAGGCTCCAGCCTCAACTTGTTTCTCCTACCAGCAGCAGACACTTTGCTCACTCCATCCCACAGGGAGCTGGGCAGCCCTCGTCCCTGCCACGAGGGCTCAGCGATCCCCCAGGGTCACATTTCCTCTTCCAAAAAAACACTTTCCTAGGGAAAATTCCCTCCCAGCCTTCCCTCACATCTACACAGGGAGCAGCCCTGGGGTGGGAAGAGGAACCCCAGGCTCCGGGAAGGGGACAGCCCAGCTGAGGGCTGCAAATCTGCCAACACCCGACCAAACACAGCAGCGAGACCAAGGGCAGCCTCTTCCAGAAACCATCCCCACTCTGGGAGTGTTGCTTTAAATTCAACGGGTTCCCACCCAGCACTTTGGGCTAGATTATGTAATTCAGGCAGTTTAGGGCTGATCCACAGCTTGGCAGGCCGAGGAAGCCCAAGGTGCAGGCAGCAGACAAGCCCTTCTGAAAGGTCAGCAGGGATCTGTCTCATGTGGCTCCTTCACCCCTATTCCCTCAACAGCCAAGAGACTGGAGGATTGTCCTTGAAAGCCCGCAGTGGCCTTGCTGGTTTGGAGGGGCAGGAGCACAGAAAGCAGAGCCAAGTGGAAAAAAAGAGCTTGCAAATGGTTTTAAAATGTAAATGAGCACGTTGAAAGCCAAATGCAGCAATCCCCTGCGAGCCCAGCAGAGGAACTGCTCCTCTGTTCCCTGTCCAAGCTGGAGAGGGATCCCCAACAGGGATAAAAAGAGAATCTGGATAAAATCTGGGGGTTGAGCCCGCCGGGCAGAGCACACAGCCAGGGCCAGCCTGGCGGGCAGGAAAAGAGGAAGAGTTTGCACCAATTCAGGGGCCGCTTTGGGTGCTGGCAGCACGGTGCAAATGCTGTGACAGAGGGGGCAGGTCTGCCACAGAGCTGCCCCAGCCCTGCTGAGGCTGCCCCATGAGCCAGCCTCACCTGAGGCACAACTCTCCTCCCTGCTTCAGTTACCTGGGATTTCTGGAGAGCCTTTTTTTTTGCCCCCCCCTTAGGTCGATGGCTCTCCCGGGCTGCGCCGCAGCAGCTCTCTGCAGATCCCGTCCTGCACAGAGAGAGAGACAGAGGGAGAGGGAGGAAGGAGGATTTACTGCAGTCCCTCTGAGCTGACCGACCTGGCTCGCCCTCAGCCCAGCTCTGCAGAAGTGCCTGGAAAGCAAACTTGAAGCCTACCAGGGAACGTTTGCAGCCGGCTGGGAGACATGAATCACTCCCGGAGCCGCCGGATACCTCGGCGTGCTTCAGCCACCCAGAGCCCCACCGACCCCCCCAGCCAGACACAGGCACTCGTCTGCCCCTCTCCTTCAAGCCCTGACAGCAGCCTCCAAAGAGCAAACCTCCTCCTCCTCCTCCAGCCCCTTGCTCCCCACCCCAACGTCAGGACCAGGCTCGAAGCAACCCAGCGCCTCAAGCAGGGCGACTGGAGCCTCGCTCAGCCTCTCCACACCCACCAAAATGGGGTGCTCAGCACCCCATGTGCATGCCCCTAGCCCCCCCAAGGCTGATAACCAGCCCAGGGACTGCTGGCACAGCCCTGCTGAAGGTGAATTCCCCCGAGCTCAGCCCTTGGGCAGGTTCCAGTGCTGCTGCCTGGCTCCAGTTTTAAGGAGGGCAAAGGAAACGGTTCAGGGACTGCAGAGCAGCTCTTGCACTGCTCCATCTTCTTCCACGTGTGTCTTTGTCCATCTGGAACTGGGTGAAATCAGGCAGATTTCTGGTGTACAGGAGCAGGGGGGTTGTCAGATCCAGAGCCAACAGCCTCTATCCTCTCATCTGGACAGATCTGCTTGTTCAGATTCATTACAGCGAGTTGCAAACACTCTGCCCTTACTAAACACCCTCCACAGATGAGCAGAACCAGGCAGTGGGAGCTCACAGGCAGGCAGGGAGCTGTGGAGCCAGGAGCTCAGCCCCAGCTCCAGCCATTCCCATCGAGCTCCTTTCCAGGCTGGGAAAAGCATTCCAGCTCTCCCACTGAGGGGCTGAGCAGAGCAGCAGCTCCCGACAGCAGCCCAGGAACAGCCCCAGCACTGAGAAAAACCAAGACACAAGATCTGCAGCCACAAAACAGGGACAACAAAAATCCCCTGACCTCGCAGCAGCCAAATTTTCACCCTGTCTTCTCTCCAAACGTATTTTAAGCCTGTCTTGCAAACTGGATTCAAGGGGTGGAAGCGTTTGTAAGGATCTGGTGGCAAAAGAGCAGCTGGGTGTTGGAGGGGAGCACCCACAGCTCACCCACACCTCGTTTGGGCTCCTCAGGGCCGTGCTGAGGACAAGCAGCACAAACCTGCAGCCTCCCTGCGACCCTGGCACCACCAGCTCAGGGCACCAGGGCTCCTGCACCCTCCCAGCCCTGCTCTCCAGGGGTCCCTGCAGCTGAGGAACCTCCTCTCCGAGGCCCTCCTGCAGCAACCCCTCCTGCACCTCCCACCTCACAGGCTTTATCCTTGATCTCATCCACCTGGAATGACTACGTTGAAGAGCTCCAGAGCAACACTGCTCTTCTAAGAGCAGGCTGGTGGCCATGCCACCCTGCCTCCCACACCCCTCCTCTGCCTGCCTCGGTGGGGAGAACACCCTCCACACTCACCCAACGAGCTTGTTCTGCTGCTGAGCTGCAGTTCTGAGGAGCCTGGGGCAGGGCTGAGCTCAGCCAGCCCCCTGCTCCCAAATCCAGCTGTCCCTGGGTGAAGATGCTCCTAACCCTGAGGTGCAGCAGTGAACACTGTGGTGCCTCTCACCTGCCAGAGCTCTTGGTGACAGCAACAATGCCAAATAAGCCATCGCTGGTGCCACTGGTCTCCTCTTACAGGGAGCAGAGAAAACTGGTTGGTGACCCCCAGCTCCTTGTGCTGCTCTATTTTAGGCTGATTCCTCCATCCCTGAAGGCTGAGATGCTGCATCTTTCAGCTTCCAACAACACAGCCCCACGGCCTGGGAGGGGATGTGGGGCTGCTGTTCTGCCAGAGGAACGAGCCACCCAGGCACCCCACGAGCACCCAAACCGTGCCCAGGACACCCCGAGTCCACAGTTGCCCCAGTGAGAGGGTTCTCAGCAGCTCTGCCCGTCCTGCTGCAGGTTCTGAGACAGCCCCAAACAGGAGTTCAGCGGCCAGCAGCAAGTTTGGAGCTACTCAGCATGATGAGTGTCTTGAGGAGGGTCTGACGAGGCAGGCAGGAAGGCAGCAAACATAGGCAGACACACCCAGCCCTGCAAACACACGCCAGGGACTAAACGTTGGCACCCAACGTGGAGGGAGAGGCAAAGAGGAACAGAAACTTCTCTTCTGGTTTCCTAGAATGGGAACTTTTCTTCTAAGGAAGAACTCACTTTGAAAGCAGAGGCTCAGCAGGGGCAGAAAACTGCCCCCACAAACCAGGCAGAGTGGTGAAACCCAACAGGCCACGGAAAAAAGGGAGATAAAACCCACCCCAAAAAGTTGAGACGGGTGAATGGAGCCACGAAGACCTCACACAACTCCCCTCTGCCAGCCAGAAGCAACTCAAGCCAATGCCAAGGGCCCTGCCCTCGGTGAGGGCCCCCCGAGCAGGCAGGTGCCAGCAGGGGAAGGTAAAATCCCAAGTGTGGAAGGGGAGATCCAAGAGCCTCGTGCTGAACCCGATTTTCTCCTCCTCAGTGAGGCTTCCCAGCGTACCCCATCCCGTCCCCGTGCTCAGCCCCACACCTCTCCCCACAGCTCTGGGGGCTCACGCCCGCCCCATGCACGCTCCCCAGGATGATATTTCCCCTCAGGACTGGCCTAACTCGAGCCAGGCACAAGCTCAGCCCTGCTGCTGCACCCCGAGCTCTGCTCAGTTCCAAACACCAACCCAAAGGGCCCAGGATCATCCTGCCCAGCCACAGAACCACCCTGCCAGGGATCAGTGAGCCTCAAGGGCTGGCGAGACCCCACAGCTCCCACCTAGGAGTAAAATCAGATGAAGTGCTGGGCAACTCCAAACCCCAGAGCGCCAGCATCAGGCCCTCCCTTAACCCAGGGGGCAGCAGGGAATCGAGGCCCAAACGATACATCCCATCATCTGATAATTAGGGAATAAAGCCCAAGGAGAAAGGGAAGCCCCAAGGTGTCCCCTGTGGCACACCCCAGCACTCTGGGGAGCTGGGAGGGATTTTAAACAGCCAAAAAGCACCCCAAGCAGGGGTGATGCCTCCAGCACCCAACCCAAAATACCAGCCGAGGGCCCTCGGAGAGGCTGAGGACTCGGTTCTGGAAGGCAGGGCAGGGCTCCAG